TAGTTTGCTGGATTTTTGTGAATTCTTGCTGCTTCAAAAAAGCTGCAGCAAGAAGCAGCAATAATTCACAAAAATCATCTGCACCTTACTGGTTGGATGACCCATGGCAGACATCAACAATATTGCTGTTATTTCTTCCACCAGATATTTTAACTTAGATGTTCTCTGCAGCACTGTTAAGTTGATTTCTTTAGATTTCTGAGCAGGAGTTGATATTTTTTAACAGATACTGGAACTCCTCCCCTTTCTATAGTTTCTTTTTCTTTTGAATAAATTGTTTTCTTTACTGTTCTTTTTCAGTTGGGAGTCACCCCATCAGTCTCCATTAAAATTAATAAAACATATTAGATTTCTGCATCAAGAATTCATACTCATCTTGCTTATATCTTATATTTTGAGTATTAGTGTATAGTCAATGAAGGTCATGAACTTTATGAACCAGTGATTTTGCTGACTTTTATTTGAATAGTTTAAGAGGCTCCATTGCAAAAATACTCCCACTTTCTATAGTGCATTTTTCCAATTCTTTTATTTCTGTCTGCCGTAGAATTCAGTTAAAACCAGGGCTTTTTTTGTCATAGAACGCCCAGAACGGAGTTCCGGCACCTTTTTTGGATGGAACCTTGTAGGGTAGGCAAGGCGGGTTGTATGACGTGTATGAGTTCCGGCACCTTTTTTTTTTTTTTTTTTTTAGAAAAAAAGCACTGGTTAAAACCATGGTTTGGTCAAAAACTCTTTGGAAATACAAAACCTGTCTCATAACAGTGGTCCATCATCTAGATTACTGAGATCATCATCCTGGAAACCAAATCTCTCTCATTGACCCAATTTGGGTAGCCAGTTATTGAATTGCAATTTCTTTCTTTCCCTTTTTATTTTTTTCCCATGAACTAGAAAAATAGATTAGAATACCACCTGATCTTCCAGAACCTTGAGTTTTGTTCCAAAGTTTTCAAAGCCATTCTTTGCAGTATTATTTGTTCCCATGTGTATTATCAGGGAAAAAAATAGACCTGGTTGCTCTTCGAACTTCCTGATTCTTAATCAAAGCAATTGATGGGTCCAGTTATCATACGTATGTTTCAGTTACTTATTGTGCTGACTCTTCTATTTGGCTTTTTACAGGACACAATTGCCTTTTAAGTTCCACCATCCTGTCTTCCATTGTTCAGTGTTTCTTTCAGCTATAAGAGTTTGAAAATGGTTACTGAGTTCCAGCAAACAGTACATTTTTTTACAGCTCTTACTATTGCGCTGATCTATTGAGGTTATTCCTCTGTTTGACTGTTTTCTTTATGGAGATTTGTTTCCATTGTCAATTTGTTTTGTAGCCTTTGAATTGATAAATCCTTAATTCACTGCTCCTATTCTTTGCATTTCCTTCAAGAACTGCTACAAGCTTGCATTTATTGTTAGTATTAAATATTATCCCACTTGTTCTATTTCCTATTATATAAATAGTACATATTTTTAATATAACCATATCCTGTTAACAGGTAAAATTACCTCTGTCTTGCATCTAGTAGTCCACTAGTTTGATACCATTGAAATAATCTCCCCAGTGAAAAGCCATTCTGTAGTTATGATGAAAGGATCAAAAGTGTTCATCGTTTAGTTGTGTTGTTTAATGGATTGATACTAAAGGAACCTAATTTACAATAATGCATTGATAGGTGCAAATGTGGGCTCAATCTTTGAAGGGAATGGGACAACTCGCCACATCCAACTCACTACGGCCAACTTGCCGCAGGACAACTCACCACGGCCAACTTGCCAAGGGAGCATTTTCTATAAGAAAGATAAATAAGATTCTCTCTTCACATTTTAGTAGTCTTTGCTCGGTGTGCTGTTTCCACAGCCTCATGTGTTCCATTTCATGTTGGATGTGAAAATAGAAATATCTATGACCTGTTCTTGTAATATATTAGATGTAATGAACTAGTGTTGAAAATCCTTATGCTATTTTACAAATTATTCTTCTCGCGTGTTCTAATGCGAAAAGGGTTGAGACAATCTAGTAAATATAGTAATTTGGAAAGCTGCATACTATTTTCTTTCTTCCTAACATTTATAAAACAGTTCTAAATATGAATTGTTATTCCATTACAGACAGGAAAACTTTCTCATCGGTTACAAGCCATCCCTATGTGACTGTTAGAAAAAAGGGATACAAAATGTTTTGTATAAGATTACATGAATTAATTAAGCTATTTATAAATTGCATTCTAGGATTAAATCTTTCCAAAGTGATACACACAGAATGAATAAAATAGTGATATTTTAGGTAGCTGCATAAATATTCAGAAGTAATTGTATTAAGAAATTACTTTGGCATATACTGACAACCTAAGAAAGGGAACAATAAAAAGTGAAGCTGAATGTTCTCCTAGTCCTTGCTAAAATCCTTAACAGAAAGGGATTGCACAATGGGCACTGGCAGTGAAATTGTCTTGGCTCTGCTTGTGAACAGAATTGACTTTACCAGTGAACACACCAGCACTGATTACAGGCAAAAATATACAGGTGAAGTCTGCACTTAAGAATATTTTGGAGCCAAATTGATAGTTCTTAATACCCGCAAATTAGATGCTGTAATGTGCCTTTTACATAACTGGTGCAAATGATATGTTACTGAAAAATTTCAGAGGG